ACTAACATATTCCCCACTGATCTAATTATATATTATACTAAATTTAACACAACCAAATTAATCATACACAATAACTTTTCTACATCAACTATTGTTTTGGAAAAGAACAACATTGTATATCACTTTAAATTTCCTTTGGACGATAGTATCTCTGACAGAAAAGCAAGTAAATATGTTAGTTTGACGAGAACAACATTATCAAGACGTTTTACACTTCTTTTTTCGGATATAAGTTCTATTGCCCAACATCTATGCCTTTTGTTAGCTGGTTAGGTAAGTTATGAAGTGTTTTCCTTCGCACCTCTTGTTAGATCGTTAGGTAGGTTATACGGTGTTTTCCTCTGTCACTCTTCTTAGCTCATTAGATAGGTTATACGCTGTTTCCATCTGTACCGCCTGTTAGCTTGTTAGGTAGGTTATACGCTGTTTCCATCTGTACCGCCTGTTAGCTTGTTAGGTAGGTTATGCGGTGTTTCCATCTGTACCACTTATTAGCTTGTTAGGTAGGTCATGCTTTGTTTCCATCTGTACCGCTTGTTAGCTCGTTATGCGCTGTTTTCATCTGTCTTGAAAGCATCAAATTTTCCAAACTCTCTTTCCTTCTAGTTGAGTTCATGATTTTGCATGTTGGGTCTGTTTTAACCTTTTCTTTGTGGTCTTTTAGCGTTATGAATGCTTGTGGTTTAGCGATGCAATTTATTCGGTTGTCTAGGTCTAATGATTGGTCACTGTCTCTTTAGCGAGATCATATCCATTATCGACTTGCTCTGCTTGTTACCTGGCTTACAGCCGGTATTCGTATGTTTGTGCAATGTTCCTCGTACTTTCAAATTTTATTGACGATTTTCAACAACAGTAGGTAGTGGTCAACAGACTGGTGTAGTGTTTTGTTGCTAAGGGTCCCGTGTTTGAAATACACTTGTGTTCCCATGCTATGGTGTAGAATAAATTTTAGCGTCAAGTGTCTAAAATGACCTTACGGTATAAAATAAAAAGCCATACAAATGAATATCTTTTTAATCATATCACCCCATATAAGGGAGTAGAGCCACAAAGACACAAAGGGTTATTGAGTGTGAAAGAATAAGAAAAAAAAAAGGAAACGTTATTTAAGATCGAGAACAATATAAGAGTAATCAAGAGGATGGTAGATAACGTTTGACATTGCATCTGAATTTTTGAAGTTTAAAGTTGGCTGGAAAGCACGGAGACGCAAGAGTATTTCACATCGAGAAGCTTGAGAAAATGGAGTGCTAGCATAGAACGTATTGTCACATCTAGCCAATTTAATTGAATTGATGAGATCTTGGAATGAGCCTTTTGAGTAGGATAATCTTTGAAAGTGAGGGAATGGCATTCTGACTTACGATGAAAAGGGTGCACTGGACAAAAAATGATTGAGAACTAGTGTTTTAGATGATAGTAGATATTTTAATAATTTTTTCACAGTCTTCGATCATTGTGCTGTGTTTGAGATTTAAGTAGTCACATATACAGCGATAACGTTTCATGTTGTGAAAGAATCCAGTGCGAGAAGTTGCTCTGCCTCGGAAAAGTTCATGGGCTCTTTTGTTCAAAGAGAACTGTCTGAGAGGTGATTATTGGCCTTCGGTAGGCTGCATGGTCATTTTGGAGAATTGCAGCGCGTATTAGTTGATGATGCGTCAACATTTGTAAAAGCGGTGAAATGATCGTTCCTACATTAAATCGCTTACTTGCAGCAAAACAGTAGGCACACATAAATCTAAAACACTCGCTCAAGTCCCGTAAATAGAATCACAGCTTTTAACAACAAAAAGCGTTGTTGCTGTGGCTCCTGTAGCAAGTAGGCTTTTATATGATGAAGTTGCTAGCCCTATGCTCAACCGGTTTTGAATTCAGAATTGTCTTTCTCTTAAGCTGGTTGCCAACCAAGGCTAAAAAGCGCCTAGCCTACTCTGCTGTTTAGTCCATATTTGGGGAGAGAAGAGTTGAATTCATAACTTTCCAAGAGGTGTTTTCGTGTAAGTGAATGTAACAAAATTTATAATCTAACCAGTTTTCGTCGACCTGGATATAATATGGACGACTAGAACATTATTCTTCCGATGTGCTGTCCCAGCAGAAAAATGTCCGCCATCATAATACCCGTACTTCTCGACCTGTCTGACAACTTCTCTGGCCGGAATGATCTCTAGACTTGTTCCTTATTACACATATATGGTGCGTGATGAAATGATGCCTAACTGTCTCAGCTCATCAACCAATATTGCAGCATTCTTCAATAGGTAGAAAAGACGTGAAAAAATGATTCTCTGGATGATATTCATCTGTATATTTGTACGCATGCAAGAGTGCTGGACCACAAAGGATATATAGTATATTAATATGGTGAGTTCGATATATCCTTAGTTTGGGACCTATGTACATACTAATTTGTTTATAAATGTAAAAGACAACAGGAAAACTGTAATAGTTGCCGACGCGTTTCGTCCAATGTGGACTTTCTCAAGGCAAAACGAAATGAATTTATTAAACGTAGTAACTAATAATAACAAAACAAAATGTCCTTAGAAACTGGAAGAATTTAGAGAACGCTATTTTCATACAGTTAACTGAAATTAGTCCTTTACTGTCAAATACGGAGATATTGTTTTTATTGCTGTATTGACGGATTCAACCATTTTCTTTTGATTTCTTGATACTGTTCTGTACGCTTGTTTGAGAGAGAAGTAATTCTGTTAAGAAAGATGAAATAGGGAAAAGGCCTGGGCGTAGATTAATATTTGTGTACCAAAGGCTTTTTCCCTATATAAATGATATGCAGTATGCTTTTCTCAGTACATTTTATTATGTTTGAGTGTCAGAAAACAAGTTATTTAATTTTTGGTAATGCTGTATGATGGCCGATAAATATTCTTTGGCATAGTGATGCCGAGAAGGGCCACATAGAAATACTAGGCCATCAGCAAAAATTTCGCCTTTTATCTCTTTCTTTTCTTAAGTTAAAAAGGAATTATTTTGCCAAAATGGATCTTTATTATCACAGAAAGTATAAGACGTTAAAATAAGAAGTTAATGATTAGTAGTACTGCTTTTGGCTCGAATAATTAACGTCAATTAAATGTGGTATTAAATAGAAACAGTTCAGATTTTCTCACCGGGAATTTCCCCGTTCTTCTTGGAAGTAATCCCAAATCTCGTGGTTTTCGTTGGAGCACTTCTTTCTTCAGTTCCCATCAAAATGCTTTAGTTATATTGAAATCGGAACTTTATACTTGTCAGTCTTCAAAAAGCTGAGCATCTTCATCCCCAAGAACATTTTTGTTGCACCTGAGGGGTGGCAATGAGCAACGTCATGATAAAAGATTTCTCCATGTTTACAGTCTGGTAGAAGATTAGATCTTAGTAATCTAATATAGTTTTTGCTGTTTAGACTTTCATAAGATTTTACTAATTTTCTTCTACTCTTGCTTTTGTTGCAGTCCCATAGCATTATGTGTCCAACACTATATTTTACCGTCGTTGTAGTGCATCTTGCATTGTTTCTTTCTCCAACAGGTCTTCTTACATATTCTTCTGCATTAGAATATAACTTTATTTTGCATTAATCACTAAAAATGACTTTTTGCCACTTTTCAGCCTCCTACGTTAAATGTTCTTTTGACGACTCTAGTCTTCTATTCCGATGTTTTTTTATTGGTTAATGACGTTTTTTGATCCTATACGCCCGTTCAAGTTGTTTTTTTCCGTCACAACGGAAGACTGCATTCACTCTTCACTAGTCTGACTGTTAATTTTAGATTGCCTAGTGAAAATCTCACAATCTTTCTTTTGTCTTTCTTGTCTAACTTCCGCAGTCTTCCGGTTTTCTTTGCACTTAAAACACTTCCAGTTGTAGCAAACGTCTTTTGGATTGTTTGAACACTTGTCTCCGGAAATTCCCAGTTGCCTGACTATCTCTCGTTTAGTCATCTTCCCCTTCAAAGCCACAACCTAATCTTTGTTTCAGTAAAAATTTTAGCCATGAATTTAGTGTAAAAAAAAAAGCAACCTAATGTTCAACTTTAATCACTTACTAAGGCAACTTATATTCATGCTACTAAGATGGAATAATTCCTACTTAAAAATTGTATAATATCATGACTTTATCATATCAGATCTATCATTGGACTAATAGTTTTGCATGGATTTTTTTTTTAGCTTAAAGCTTCTTAAAGCTGTGTATCTTCCGTTACACGACACCTACGAAAATGCAACAACTTATTTTCTAATAATCGGGGTCCACAGACACTACTGATAAAAACGTGCTAAACTTATTAATAAAATAAAAGTATAGAACATTTTATGCATTGGTCTAAAAATTTTGCACGCCAGTGAATATGATCAGTTACTGTAAACCCGTTATACAGCCCATAATATTGAGTAAATTTAAACCCATTTTATTTTTATTATTGTAGTAGTTACATTAAGTTTTATCGAGTGCGCAGGCCTATAGATGGAATAAATACTGTTTAAAATAAGAACAAGGCCTCTCTTTCAAACATGGGGATCCAATAAAAATAATGTTTGAAGTAATAGAAATGTCTATTAGTTCTTTAGAAATTGCTTTGTTTACGTTTTGGATACGAAACTGAACAGATATAGGCCTTTGAGAAAAATCTTAATGAGGGTGTGTGTTAAAAAGTAAAATGAAACCTTGCAGGATCGTTACGTTCTCTGTGACTAAACGGTCTAAAACACGCAAGTACAGAATGTGTATGCAAATATAACAGATATAAATAAGTATTATGGGATGGAGGGAGTCACGTGAATATTTAAAAGCCTTGAAGTGCACGTACACCCACGTTCATACCACTCTTCTTCAAACGCATTATGGGTAATTTTATTAATTAATGTATTTAATACTGTCATTCATGTCCCCTACAGCATTTTAGTAAATAGCCTGCACTTACATGTATGATAAACCCCTAATCAATCAGTCAGTTCTTTTAATTATTTATTTATTTTTTTCGCTATAGTTGTTCCTTTCTTTTTTTCTTTCTCTCTCTTCATTTTGTTTATTTTTCTTTACCCTCTCCTCCACTCTCTTTTTTTTTCGATCCTTCATCCATCCCCCAGCCCACTTCTCTTTGCTACACCCGCTCGCATCTGGTAGCAATACCCCCACTTACGTCCTTCGAAATTTTCAGCCCAAACTTGACCTTTAACGGACGAATCCATCAGAGTCCTGTCCCGGTAAGAATCTCCATATCCTCCCGCCAATGTAGGGGTCACTAGTACTTGTTGTTCACAAAGCAGACCTTTCTTTCGGGCACGTTTTAGTACCCATATCCGGTGCCTACAACAGTTGGACAAAATTGACTTATTTCGTCCCCCAATTTGCTGACCATCAATTTTTTTCTTATTACACCTGCCATATTTTGACTGTTGCCCCCATAACAAATAACAAACCCCACCCCACAAAAAGACAACTCTTTTTTGTCTTATCTATCTGTTTAAGTCTCGTCATATCTATCTATCTATCTATCTATCTATCTATCTATCTATCTATCTATCTATCTATCTATCTCAACCTGTTTCTGTGTAAGTCTCTTCATATCTATCTATCTATCTATCTATCTCAACCTGTTTTTGTGTAAGTCTCTTCATATCTATCTATCTATCTATCTATCTATCTATCTATCTATCTATCTATCTATCTATCTATCTATCTATCTCAACCTGTTTCTGTCTAAGTTACTTCATATCTATGTTAACCTGTTTCTGTCTAAGTCTCTTCATATCTATCTATCTATCTATCTATCTATCTATCTATCTATCTATCTATCTATCTATCTCAACCTGTTTCTGTTTAAGTCTCTTCATATCTATCTATTTATCTCAACCTGTTTCTGTCTAAGTTTCTTCGTATCTATCTATCTATCTATCTATCTATCTATCTATCTATCTATCTATCATAAAAAAACAACACAAAACCAAACAAAGATACGTAAATTAAATCAATCAATGTCAACAATATGACGAGATAATCTTCTGTGGCACAAAACTTAAAAAAATAAAAAGTCAGCTTATTGGTGAATCTTTTCCTTCGTTTTTTAAAGTTGAGGTTCCGTTAGGGATTCAAATTTTATATATGATCTGCGCCAGTGGTTCTCAACCTTTTTCACCCATAGATCAACTTTCACTCTTAATTTTCTTTTTGTTGCCCCCCCCCCTAACCATTTGATGAAAAAAAGCCTATTTAATTTTTTTCACTAATAAGATAAGTTTAGGAATTGTATTATAGAAATAGTAAATGTATATGCTTTATTTTGAAGTAAAACTAATTTAATGAAAATAAATTTGCATCTAACAACTAAATTCTATGGAACATTTATGGACACTAGTAAAATAACTCGTAATAAACCATTTTTAAAATGGACTTCTTGTGGACTCCAGTAATCTTACATGTACCCCAAGGTCCATACGCACCCCAGTTGAGAATCACTGATTTACACAATACGTTCTCAGTTTTCGAAAAGCATAACAAGGACGTTTTAGATGAATAGTGCCAACTGCTGATTGATTTTTTTTTACGGTTTATCAACCCTTGGTGTGTTATTTAAAGCCAAAACATTTTATTTTCTGATTGTAAGAATCATTCTTTTATTTTTGCGATTGAATATTGTGTCAATAATTTTTTGGAGATAATTTTTCCAGATATAAATCCTATTAGTTAACCCATATCTGAGGGAAGACGATATCGATTCATATCTTTCCCAAAGGTATTTGCTCGTAAGTGACTGTAAAAAGTTTTTTCTTCCTATGGATTATCCATTACACCCTCCACGCATCCACGTTCTGACTACGGAATTGTTTTATCTTTATTTTTTACAGTAAGGTTCACCCTGTACAAGGCCAGAAGTCTAGCGAGGTAGGAGGTTACGTTAAGGGCTAGTTTAACTCTAAACTTGAACAGGTCAAGATTGTCGTGATCGAGGAAACATCCTTTTCGGAGTCTGTTACACAGAGCAGTGGTTCGTGGGAAGAAGCTGTTCCAATGGAACTTCTCGCCGATGGAATATGGAGGAAATGTGGGTGGTTTTACTACAAATTAAGTGGCGTGGTGGGTCCTAGCCGTGAAGGTTAGACCTGGAGGAACGAAGGGATGGAGTTCGTCCGAACATTTTCCATGGAAGTAGCGATATTTCAGTGAGAAACTCGCCACATCCCGCTTTTAAGAGAGAGGTTGGAAGATGGAAAATAATTCGTCACCCACTAGGACTTGGGGACGGTTTTGAACTCTATCGAGACTGGAAAGTAAGGACTGGGAAGTTCCCGCCCGAATATGACAACAATACTCTATTTTCGGCTTGGTCTGGCTCTTATAAAGGCGGAGAATAGCATACAGAGTCAGGTACTGGAGCGGTACAGCGAGTCGATCATTTTACTACATCTTTAGCGATGGATCGTATATAAGAGTTCCACCTGAGGTCGTGTAGGAGTTTGAGGTTCAATATTCTTTCAAGACACGGTGCCACCTCGCGGGGACATCCGTTTATCGTGATTGGCGGTGGTTCGAGGTTTTATCAGTGGTGATGTAATGTTTGGTTTTCGAGGCATTGAATGTAACCAGCCAGTTTTTTTCCATATTCTTTGAATTTCGGAGATGAAGCATTGGTAATTCTTACTCATCTTTAGATCGGTATTTCTTTCATTCTATTTCTCTTGATTCTTTTAGGGCAATTTCCAGATCGTTATTCCAGGAATATTAGTAGGTAGCGTGGATCGGAAACAAAGAATCAACCCCCTTCAAGACTCGAACTCGCAGCTCTTATCTTCTGCCATTAATAACTGATAATGCGTCATCTATGAAATTTAAATCATATTACATCTGATACTAAAAAATCAAGTAAACAATGATACTAGTTGTATTTCAAGTATTCATAGAAAATAAAATAATAAAATATATATTGAATTAGTGTATCTACTTGTTTGGTTCATGGTACCATCGACCGCACATGTGAACAACGACGAATGAGGAAAGAGGGCTTGGAAAATCTGATACTCACAGGACAGATTGAAGGAAAAAGAGACAGAGGAAAACAGCGTGTAACATACTTGATAGGCTTGAGTAAATTGGTGGTAGAACAGGGTTTTGGAGAAATAACAAAAAGACAAAACCTATTAAGATCTACAAGGGACAGGAAGATGTGGAGGGTCATGATTGCCTACGTCCTGACGGGACACGGCACATAAAAGAAGTAGTACCTAGTTGATCTTCATAGCCTATTCGGTGATGCAGTTGGTCCAAAACAGCAGACTCCCGAGGATACAAAATGAATGTCCGAATCTAGTCGGAGGTTTAATTCTATCCGAAGCGCGCTGCTTATTGGCAATCTGAGAGTGACTACTAAAATTAATATGATAAAAAGCAACAATAAAAAAGAGTAAAAAATAATATAAACGCTTTGTCTTTATTTTCTTTGTTCGCTTATGTGTGTGTGCGTGTGTGTGTGTTAGTGAGTGTCTCTCTCTCTCTCTCTGTGTGTGTGTGTGTGTGTGTGTGTGTGTGAAAGATGTATGGGTAACGTAACGTTTAGCGGTGCAGGAAGAGGATTCGGCAAGCTGATTTCATATTGCGATCAGGTCTGTTTCGTCCAGCTTACCACGGCTATTGGTTAAATAGTAGGGTAGACTGGCCTCTCTAGCCTTGGTTGGTAACTAGTCTAGAAGAAAGACTAATCTGAATTCATAACAGCGCAGAAGGTAACAGGATAACAGTCCACAGCATTTCTGAAGTAGTCATAACAATTCCAAGATGAAGAAAAGGAAGTCGGGGAAGGTCATGATCGCCTACATCTTGAAGGGACATGGCATTTTTTTTTAAAATCGGGATACAACAATTTCCACTGTTTTTTTTTTTATATTCTAGAAGCCCAGTACAATTATGTATGACTAGTGCGATTCGATTGTTCATCTGTTTATGCAAATATCGGGGTTAAGTACCCTTATAGGAATTGACTTAAAAAAAATTGGACCATCCGAAGTTTCCAAAACAGAAACCGATCAATATTTGAAATCTATCATTAAAGAATTATTTTTTAAAAGAAATTTTGCATGTGTTTTTATATTTTGTTTTTATATCAAAAAATTAAAACCAACATGTTCTCAAGAAGTTGAATTCTTGATATAGTTTGCATATTTTTATATTATTTACATAATTCATTTATAATACACACTTTTCTTTGTTTTATAGAGTAACTTTACTTATTTGAATTGTTAGGGGCCAGTAATATGAAATTGATCAAAGAGAAAGTGGTTATTGAGAACAGGTCAGAGGTTAGGGGTAAAGTTATAGTTTTCATACAATGTGATTTTATTCATAAACTTGCAGTAACAAGTTATATATCCTCTGAGTCTTTTCATAGCTAAGTCCCGCCATCTATCTATCTATCTATCTATCTATCTATCTATCTATCTATCTATCTATCTATCTATCTATCTATCTACAACTATTCATTATCTATCTGTCTATCTGTCTATAACTATTCATATCTATCTATCTATCTATCTATCTATCTATCTATCTATCTATCTATCTATCCGTTGGTGTCAGTGAGTGCACGAAGTATGGCTTGAACCGATCAAATATAATTCGTATGATTGTTAATTCTCTTCGTTATGACGTTCCTGGTTGTTATAAGTAATTTTAGTTCTACTTTTATTAGTATACTGTTTTACTGTTTTACGGGTGATTGGAAAGATGCGGGTAGCCTAACGGTTATCGGTACGTAAAGTGGAATCAGTGAGCTGAGTTCAAATTCCAGCTGAAATAGTTTGTTTTCACTTCTCACAAATGCCCTTGGGAAATCTATGGACCCACTTCTCATCTAGTTGTGTTAAATAGTATGTCAGACTGAGCACTCTAGCCTTGGTTGGAAATCAGTATAGGAGAAGGAAGACTGAATTTAAGGTCTTGCATAAGGTGACTGGAAATCACTCCTTGATTTTTCCCAAGAACAATCATGATACCTAAAGGAGAAGTATAGTTGTGATTGCCTGAAAAATTTATTCGGAGAATGGTGAAGAGAGAGCTTTAACGTCATATTAGTTATTTTCGTAGAATGGACTAAAAATACATCCATGTCTTGCGTCCCTTTTTTTATTTTTATGTAGTTGCTTAATTTATTTTCTATCCGTATACAAGCGAATTGTCCCGGGTTATTCTAATATCTCTTCCAAATAAATCAATCTTTCCTAGCAGTTAAAATAGATTTTTATGTCGCACGCCATAAAAAAAATGTAGCATAGTTTTATCTAATAAGCTTGCATTTTCTGTTTCAACAGCATTTCATGAAAATATTTAAACAACACTGTTTAGTCAAACCAAAAAAAAAAAAAAAATTGAAAAGAAAAAATGAAGAAAAAATAAGATTAGACACGGCCTATGAAACATAGGTTAGATCTTTACAATTTTATTTTTTTCTTCTTTTCTCTTTCGTACCGAATTACGAAAGACTAGAATACGAAGGAGTAAAAATGAAACTTTCGCTGTTCATAAAACAAACAAACCGTAACAGCTTGATCGGACCGAAAACACAGTTTCTGTTTATTTCTGGAGTTGTACACCAAAAAGTAATTTCCCGCCTAAAAGATTCTGTAAATATGACCTTCTTTAAAAATGGCCTCTGCAGATATTTTCCACTACGGAGAACGATTCTAACCACTTTACTGTGTATCTATATTGGGATCAATATTTTGTTCACATAAATTTGTGTTGTTCTACAAATGCCTAAAACTTATATATTTACTGTATATCTCTCTGTACAGCGAATCAGCATAATGTTAATGGTAATAGTAATATTAGTCATTTCTTTATATGTTACCCCCAACTATGGATAAATAGTCGAACAGACTGGGTTCTGTAGCCTTAAGTGGCAACCGGTGTAAGAGAAGTAAAACTCTGAATTCAAAACTGTATGTAGCCCTGGCGAAGGACATATTATGCAGCTAAGGAAAGTATCGTTCGCATTGACTCAGTAATTCCGACTACTTCGACTCCTTTATATGGAATGACCGAGAAGCCACCGTCGATTGAAATTTGTAAAATCTTTCTATTATAACAATTTTTCAGGAAAATAGGTTTCTCGAGAGCAGTAACTTTTAACTTCGCTTTTTCTAGTATTGATGGGGGTTTCCTTCCAAACCTTTTGTTCGAAGTGTTTTGGACAGCCAATGTTGTTATTTTCTCTTCGAATTACACATGCTATTCATTTTAGTTGTTGCTTCTGTTGAAATTCCTCAAGAGGTATAGCCTCTGTTATTTGGTACAGCATTTTGTGATGCTGTAGCCGCAGTCCACGGGCTTCGAAGAAGGATCGTCCTCTCTAAGACCTACAGGCATCATTCACCGGAAGTCATTTTTGATCATCGATCTGAGAAAACGGTTGTATACAGCCGGCAGTTTAGATATTCCTGAACATGTTTGGTGCTATTCATGACATCCATATGAAAGTTTCGATCTGACGTGGCTATTTAAGAACATGACTCTAGTTCTTATGCTATTTTTGAGATCCTAAATTCAAAATGACTTTTTTATCATAAAATATATCTTATAGAAATAACCGAATATAGTATGTATTCTGCTGTTGCCCTTCATGAGCAATATCTTTGCGAACTAGTGGAAAGAGATGTACACTAGTTCCCAAAGGTGTTGTATATAGCCAGAAAGAAAGAGCGTGTGAGAGAGAAAGAACGACAGATGAGAGAGAAGGAAAGTGAACGAGAGAAAGGTGAAAAAGTGAGAGAGAGAAAGAGAGCAAGGGTGAGAAAGAGAAAAAGAACGGAGAGGGAAGACAGAAAGAGAAGGAGAGAAATACAAAAAAAGGGGGACAGGGGAGGAGGAGAGAGAGAAAACAAGAAGTAGGGTGGGAGAGAGAGAAAGCGGTGGCACACACACGTATATATATATATATATATATATATATATAATCGACTCTCCCGTCGAGATTCGACGTATGAGGGTCAAGCAGATCAGTTTCCAGGAAACCGACACCGGCACATGAGATTTGATTATAGTGGTGAAGGCTTCGTGCAGGACCATCCACACTTTTTAAAGGGGCGAATACAGAGACCTGGTGCACCGAATGCCACAAGGTTCCCAAACGACCCTCCGCAGGTTTTGAATTCAGAGTTGTCCTTCTCCTAGACCAGTTGCTATCCAAGGCTATAGAACCCAGTCTGTCCTGCTATTTTATCCATAGCTGGAGGGAGAGGAAGAGGATTCATACCTTTCCCAAGGGTATTAGCACGTAAGTGAATGTAATGGCTTCGACTGGAATTCGAACTCGACTCTGCGATTCCTCAATCCACTGTGCCTCCTATCAAATAGGATAAAATTTTCCCTCTGTCTGTCTGTGTGCGTGTATGTATATATATATATATATATATATATATATATATATATATATATATATATAAAGAGAGAGAGCAAAGGGGGTGGGATCCTATTATTTCTGTCGTTGATTGTAGTCGAAGATAAAATAACCTCTGTGAAGGGTTAATTGTATTTTGAAACAGCAGTGATGTTTCTTTTTTCATTGAAGAAACAGTTATGGAAATAACAGCTCGACCTTAAGTAGGGACCATTGAATCAGTGCGAACCATCCTTTCCTTTAGCTGCATAGTATTTACTTCACCAGGGCTCCATACAATTTTGAATTCAGCCACATTCCTCTTGTATTCCATCGGTGAGAAGTCAGTTTAATTCGAACAGATTCTTCCAGCGAACCACTGTTCTGTGGAACCGACTCCCAAGAGAAATTTTCCCTTAATCACTACAATCTTGACCTGTTCATGTCTAGGGTTAATAGTCATCTCCCCTTCCTATCCGTATAAATTGACTCTACCTCGAGTGTCCCTCGGCCTTGTACAGGATTAACCTTACTGTAAAAAAAAAAAAAAAAGTAAAAATCTGGTCCTGTGTTCCTGAAATATATCTCGAGATTCTCAAAATAATCAAAGAAAGAATCAGCAATACTATCATCCTGACCTGGCATCTCGGCTTCAGTCACTTTCCCGCCCCCGTAACGTAGCTTCCCTCTGCCTTTTCTATAAATACTTTCGTGATGTTTGTTCTTATGAACTTTCCTCTTTGGTACTTAGACTTTTGGTACTTAGACTTTACAAATTTAAACGCAGTACTAAAATTGGCGACTAGGCGTAATTTTTTTTTTACAGTTGAAATGGCTAGATGTAACCGTAAGTTCTATGCTAACAATTTCTTCTCTCGTATTTCTCGCTAGTGGAACTCTCTTCCGGCTTCTTGCTTCCCAGTCAAATTTGATCTTCAAAAATTTCAAAAGAATGTTAATCGTTATTTTCTGTTTTCTTCGTTCCTGTTCTTTTTTTTTTGTTCTCTCTCCTTAATAATGATTTTTTTCTCATATTCTCTCACACTAAGTAACCCCCTTGTGTCTTAGTGGCTTTACTGCCTTACATGAGGTGAAATGATGAAAGAAAAAAGACTACGACGTCGGTAAAAAAATATAACAAATGAACAGCAAATGAAACTGTGTTAGAAAATCTTTAGGGTTTTAATCGCTAAGATCAAACATTTTTTTAGCCGTTTCAGGTTTTAACGAGTAAAAGTAGGCTCAGTCGAACGAATATTATATGGAGAAATATAGAGACGAAAAACTATGTTCAAGTTACTTATATTAACCATGTTTATATACCTGTGGATGTCTGTGTTTGCCCTTGTAGGATAATACAGTCGGAATGATCGGAAGGAGAGTTTCATTCTAATTAATATTCTCATCGGACACACGTGTGGCCTTTTATGAGTGTATATAGCTATAAAAACTTTGCATTTCATGCACGCCCTAACATACAAATAAATGTATACACACATATGTGTATGCAAAACAGTATATATATATATTTATGTGTGTGTGTATGTGTGCATTTGTGTGTATGTATACACACATATAGGTGTATGTATCGGCATGTGCCTGCATGTTTGTTTATGTGGGGGCGTATTTGGGAAGATAATCCAGTCGTAGTCAATATCCTTTAACCACAACAGTCTCGGGTATATTGGATTGCCACCCACGCACTGGCACCCGAATGAAAACCAATATCGAAACGGACAGAGATGATACGGCCACCCAGGCAGAAAAAAAAAACACCTAGAGATGTGTAAAAAGCTTAAATATAATTCTGAAATGTTTACTTAATCAGACATCATCCAATTCGCCGTAAAGATTTCAATAAGCAGTTATTCCAAATTTCTTCTCATCTTAATTTGAGTTTCTTATAGAAGCACTGGTGGACTTCATAGAATTGTATTAATTGTGAATATTTTAAAATCAATTTTTGATCTTGGGAAAGGATGCGTCATTAATTGGTTATTTATTGTTTCAAAGGGGGGAATAATAGCAACTCTTTCTGTATCATGCACATTTACAAATCTACCATTCGTCTGTGCATTGAATACTGTTGCCATATCTGACCTGGTGATTCTGTTATACATCTCAAGATTGTTGATAAAATCCAAAAAAGAATCTGTAATGTAATCGATCCTGAGCAGTCATCTTGACTTCAGTCACTTTCTCCCAGATGTGAAATGATTTCCCTCT